TGTTAATTAATTGATTATGGTTAATTGAACATGCATGGAAAACATTGTTTAGACCCTTTACAATGAAGATCTGTAAAGTTATTTGGATTTTTACAATATTATTGTTGAAATACACAGTCCTGAAAAAGGGACGTTTCTTTTTTTGCTGAGTATATATCAAATGCGCAGCATTTATAGAAAACCTTTGGCAAATGTGGGATGCCTGCAGTTTTAACATGTTTTCCCTTAAAACATAGCTCATAAGAAGACAATATTGCCGTGTTTCATACGTATTCACTTTTCAAGTTTTTATTGTCACGTGTTCAGAGTATCAGTGAAATTCTTGCCACGGGACATTGTTATTTGTAAATACTGTTGCCGTCATTTTCTCAGAGTAGCTTTTTCATTTGTTGTATTATTTTTAAAGCATGTCTAATAGCCCCCTCACGAAGAGAAGTGGTTTCATTGGCGTTATTAAAGTAACATTTTTGTTATTCCACAGTGTCTGCGGAGTTGAGGATCGTGCTGTTTAGTAGCAGAAGGCCCTTACAGACCATCGTCTCAAACTGTATCCTGGGACGGCAGGTGATCATGCCAGCTGAAGGTAACTTTTCACAGATTTCGAAGAATCACGAGGAGATAGAGGGCAGAAAAGTATCAGTGATCAACACAGGAAACTTCTTCGAGAAGGACCATACACAGCAACATATCAAAAAGGAGCTGAAGAGATGCGTGTGTCTGTCTTGCCCTGGACCCCATGCTGTCCTTTTAATCCTGGACTTGGAGGACATCTCAGCAACTGGTGTCCGTATTGTGGAAGAACTTACCAAGTACTTTGGGGACAACATCTTAAAGTACACAATTCTTCTTCTGTGCCATGAGGGTATGGAAGAAGATGCAAGCTTGGAGGATAGACTCTGGGAAGATAGAAACCTCAGAGAGATTATGGTCAAGTGTGAACACCAGTATCATCTGTTTAACAAGAATTCTATGGGAGCCGGTCCTTTGCTGGAGAGGATTGAGAGTTTGGTGGCTAAGAATGGGGACAGATACTTTACTGAGGAGCTGGAGAGGGAGAGAGACCAATATCTGAAGATTGTCAGGGCTGAAATTAGAAAAGAGGCTGAACAGGATACTGATTATGAAGCAGGAATGCCTGGTGCATTCGTAGGGGGACTTGGAGCGACAACAATGATGATGATGATGAGAGGGTTAGGGGGAGGAGTAACAGGGTCAGTGCTGGGGATGATAGGAGCTGCTATAGTAGTGGCAGTGGTAGTTTGGAGATTTTGGAGACGTTAGAGGTGCTGCTGCTGACATTGCAGGAGATTAAAAAGCGGTGCTGAATTATACTGCAGTGCTGTGCTGTTTCTTTTAAAAAAATGAATTCTCCATAATTGTCCAGAATGAAGAATTAAGTTGTCACTGGCAAGCTAGATCAAAAAGAAACTGAAAATAATAAACTAGAATTAATGCATCACCAAAGTAGACTTAAAAAACATGAAGACATGAAAGAAAAGTTTTGGATAACTGGGTGACTGGTATAGGGATTGACTATGTACAGACCGTGTTACCGTGTAGTTCTCTAAATCAGTAAATTGAGTTTATGGAAATTAACTGTAAAATAAATGTTTTACATGGTAATGTGTTATTGTAAGATAGGATGGCTTATGGTTCTTTATGCTTGAAAATCACATTGTACATTGTGAGTTAGTGAATTTTATTACTGAACTAGCTAGGGCTGCAAGGATTCATCGAGTAACTCGAATAACGCGATTACAAAAAATCTTTGATGCAAATTCTTTGCTTTGATGCTTCATTTAATCCGTTCGACTATGTACTGCCCAGTGATCACCGTGTTTCACACGGAGGTTTATTACTGTCGCACAGTGTGCTTACGCTGCGTCACGTGTAGCGGAGTGATACAAAAAACAGAGTGGAGGCGAGACAAGATGGCGGCGTAAATGGTCGTGTATTACGAGCTCTCAGCACCAGCTTCTGGTTAGATATATATATACATGCAGTTTTAGAAATTCTGTAAAACTAATTAACACCATAGTGCATATACTGTGGTACTACTGAGCCAGAAAAAGTCAAAATATATACAAAATAGACCCAGTGAGGATAACAAAACCGGGAACAGCCAAATTGTTAACACTAGTGACCATGACAATAAAGGGGGGATAACTTATGAATAAATGAAGAAGAATTTCCTGCACTCCCTATAACACCAAGTCGACCTCCTCTTGCCAAGAAGCCTGCTTTATCCAGTGCACATGCTGATGAAGTTATTAAATCTGACAAGATTGTAGCTACTCTCGCTGACTCACTTGAGGGTATGGCAAAGGCTACCTGTGCTAAAATGAAGGACTTGAAGGACAAAATTGTCTGCATTGAAAACAATGAGCAAGCTAAGCTGACCTGCAGGAACCATGTGAGGGATCTGGACCGTTAGGGTAGATGCTGGAATATGTAACTCCACAGTGTCAGAGAGGATGTTAGATAAAATGTTCGAGAAGAAGCGGTTCACATCTGCCAGGAAATTATACCACAAGATTGGGAAAAGCTTTCAGAAGCCATTGATGTTGCACACCGGCTGAGAAACAAGCGTCCAAGTGATTGAAGTGGGAGAGAAACATCTCCATCCTCAAGAAGGCCCAGCAGAGGATGAACTTCCTGCGACAACTGAGGAAGTATGATCTCCCACAGGAATTGCTGATCCAGTACTACTCAGCAGTCATGGAGTCTGTCCTGTTCTCCTCCATCACAGTCTGGTTTGGAGCAGCAACCAAACAGGACAGGAACAGACTGAAACGGACAGTTAGGACAGCAGAACGAATCATCAGTGCCCCACTACCCTCCCTCCTGGATTTGTACACTTCAAGAATCAGGAAAAGGGCAGGAAAAATCATCACTGACCCACCACAGCCTGGAAACTGTCTTCCCCTCTGGCAGACGGTTCAGACGTCTGCAGACCAGGATCAGTCCCCACAGGTTCTTCTCTCAAGCCATCACCCTTACAAACATCTGACCTGCAACATTAATTTACACCCGTTTCC